AATCAGATAAAGAATCAGATAAAGAATCACAAAGAATCACATAAAGAATCAGATAAAGAATCACATAAAGAATCACATAAAGAATCACATAAAGAATCAGATAAAGAATCACATAAGAATCAGATAAAAGAATCAGATAAAGAATCACATAAGAATCAGATAAAAGAATCAGATAAAGAATCAGATAAAGAATCAGATAAAGAATCAGATAAAGAATCAGATAAAGAATCACATAAAGAATCAGATAAAGAATCACATAAAGAATCAGATAAAGAATCACATAAAGAATCACATAAAGAATCAGATAAAGAATCACATAAAGAATCACATAAAGAATCAGATAAAGAATCACATAAAGAATCACATAAAGAATCAGATAAAGAATCACATAAAGAATCACATAAAGAATCACATAAAGAATCAGATAAAGAATCACATAAAGAATCAGATAAAGAATCACATAAAGAATCACATAAAGAATTAGATAAAGAATCACATAAAGAATCAGATAAAGAATCACATAAAGAATCACATAAAGAATTAGATAAAGACATAAAGAATCAGATAAAGAATCACATAAAGAATCAGATAAAGAATTAGATAACAGATGAATTGACAGCAAATGATGCAAACTGGAGAGTAGTAGGAGAAAATAGCAGAGTGAGGAAAACTGGTTAGGTTTTCCTCCAGCATATAGTTCAAGTTAATCTAACAAGTTTAGAACGAGAAATGAGAGATGGGCGGACCGCTGGCACCAGCTGGGACCACTGGGACCACTGGCACCACTGGGACCACTGGGACCAGCTGGGACCACTGGGACCACCGGGACCAGCTGGGACCAGCTGGGACCACTGGGACCACCGGCACCAGCTGGGACCACCGGGACCAGCTGGGACCACTGGACCAGCTGGGACCACTGGGACCACCGGCACCAGCTGGGACCACCGGGACCAGCTGGGACCACTGGGGATGTCTGGTGTTTCCCCACTGGGGTCACGTTATGGTCCCACCAGATGCTGGTTCTGGACTGGCCCAGTCTCTCTGTTAAAAGCTTTTATTTTGGTCCTGTCTGTGTGATGCATTTTAATAATCATGGAGCTTTTCCAATCATATTTGACTGATTTAACTGATGAAAATGTTGTTCTAGTTATTCAGGGGCCCATAAAGCACATTTATATTGATTGGTCTGAAACATCGAATATAATAAACTTTATTGACGGGAAGCTCTGATCCGTCTTCAGGAAGCGTCTGATTTTATCTGTTCAGACACAAAACTGACAGCTGATGCTTACTGAGCGCTACTGTAGCTTTAAATGTACTGAACTAAACAACAGTCACAAAACGTGTTTCATAGAAACACACAGCTGATGTGTTTCTATGACGACGGGACCACACATCCCACAGCATCACCTTAATGATGCTAATGCTAATGCTAATGCTAATAGCGTCGGAGCACAGCTGCAGATTTTTGTTGCTGCAAGTTAAACTTTAGTTGAACTTTTTACTGAGGATTCAAAGAGACGCTGAAACTGTTTAGAGAAGATTTTAGGAGAGAAACGTTTTAAAACAATGAAACTAAAAGTTACAGAAGAAGTTTGAGTTGGTTTGACAATCAGGAAACTGAAGTTAAAAGAGTTTAGCTGTTAGCAACAAAATATGGTCAAGAAAAGTTAGAGACGTTTTATTTTGTGGTCGACTAAAAAAAGCCAAAGTGTCTCATAAAGAGGAAGAGGAAGAGTTTGTTCTCAGCGAGTCAAACTGCTGCTGGTCTCATTGGATCCAGCTGCAGAATGGAGGGAACATCTGTCCACAGGCTGCTGGGTGAGTCCATCTGCTGGATGTGTGCAAATGTTGAGAGACGATCACTGCTGCTTCCCACAGCAGAGCTGATTAAAGCTCCAACTAACCTGAGAGTCATTCTCTGCAGCTCTGATCTCTCTGCTGAGCCGCTCAACAAACCAAGGTTACAACCTGATTCTGATAACTCTAGATCTAGACTGGATCCTGTTGCTGGAACTAATGAAATGTTTTATTATTTCAGTTCATCTGACTGTGAGTCCCAGCAGATCCCAGTTCTTAGAAGAAGAATCAGTGACTCTGATCTGTGAGGATGAAAACAGATCAGCTGGATGGACAGTGAGGAGAAACACCAGCAGAGAGACCAGGAAGCCATGTGGAGATGGATGGGGAGCAACAGTTGGTTCTACATGTAACGTGACCTACATCCTCCCAGAGGACACTGGTCTGTACTGGTGTGAGTCTGGATCCTCCAGCAGCAGCAACAGCAGCAGCAGCAGCAGCAGCAGCAGCAGCTGCAGCATCCAGCTCTCTGTCTCTGGTAAGATCAGACTGTGGAGTTAGTGTTGCTGTGTGGAAATGGATGAAATGCTGTAGTTTGTCTCTGTGTTGAAAGGATCAGTGATCCTGCAGAGTCCTGTCCTCCCTGTGATGGAGGGAGATGACGTCACTCTGAGCTGCAGAGCAAGGAATCCAACCCACAACCTCCCAGCTGCTTTCTATAAAGATGGCTCCTTCATTGGTGATGGATCAGCAGGCAGCATGACCCTCCTCCATGTTTCCAGCTCTGATGAAGGCCTCTATAATGTAGCATCAGCGGTTCTGGAGAGTCTCCATCCAGCAGGGTCTCTGTCAAAGGTCAGGGGTCAGCAGCTTCTGTTTAACATGTATATCACTGTAACTCTGTCTCTGGATATTTAGTTTTCTTCCAATGATCTGAACTTTCTATAATTGTTCTATAAACAGTTTTTCTAGCATCTAAATGTCAAATATTGATTTGAATCTTTGATACAAATTATCAGAATATTCATGTTGCTTTGTCATCAATGAGAAGCTTCATCTTCTATGGCTGATGATGTTTAAATTTAATGCATCTTATTTTCTGAAATCATATTAAAATGTGTTTGTAACAAGACTGTAACAGATGCTAGAATAAATGTTTTGTTCTCTGCTAACTGAACTGATCAAACACAGTTTAATGTTTTATTTGTGTTCCAGTGATCAGTGTGAATAATAACTAATGAATTCATCAGTCAGACACAAACATTCCTTCAGTTTCATCTATAAATGTTGATCAGGTTGGATTCTCTCTGCAGGAAAACACCAACCAGAGCCCCGCCCACCACTGAAGCCCCGCCCACCACTGAAGCCCCGCCAATCACTGAAGCCGCGCCCTCTTCATCCTCCCCGCTCCTCATCATCACTCTGCTCTGCCACCTGGTGGTCATGTTCCTGTTCTTCATCTGCTGTTTCCTCTTGGGGTTTTCATCTGGACTCAGAGCCAAAGGTAAAACCCTGAATCATTTCCTGACCTGATGATCCAACCAATCACTGACTGACTGAAGGTTTTCACTGGTTCTGATTTTATTATATATTATATTTGCTTTATAAATGTCTCTTATTATCCAGTCTCCTGAATTAGTTGCATTCATGGTAATAAATGTGTTTTTCTTTAACTTCCTCTGAACACAGGAAGTGACCCGTCACCGTGTGTGAAGATGACTCCGCCCCCCCAGGATGAGCTGGTACCACATGATGATGATGATGATGATGATGATGACGTCACCACGGAGTATCACTTCTGATCCAAACAATCTCATCCTGATCTGCTGGTTTTTTCTTCTGCTTTGCTTTCTGAAAAATTGATTTATTATCTGAATAAATAAAACTTTATGAATAAATGAAACTGATGATGTTATTTTAATTCCATTATGATGACGCCATGAATCATAGCACTCTGCATTTTTATCAGTTATTTTAAAATCAGCATTAGATATTAAAATATATTTTAATATTTTGTTTTAGTTACATTAAAGTATATTAAATATGAGACAGAAAATCAGTGAAACAATGAAGCTCCTTTTCTTCATCTCCATCTTTGTTGTCTTACTGCCATTTGCAGAAATAAATCACTCATAAACAACCAATCAGTCTTGATGCTGTCAGTCACTCTTGTGTACGTGCTGCTCACACCCTCCTCACTGTAGCTCGTGTCCCGCAGCAGAACCTGCAATGAATTAGCAGGTCGTTAGCCTCACCACTGATGACGGCGGCTAACGATTATAGCTTCATCATTGATCCGCTGCAGCCATAATTAAGCAAAATGAATTAGATTACGTCAAAATGCAGTTTCTATATATTTTTATTGAGTTGAGCAACAACTTGAACACAAGATTCTTCACTGAACTTTCACTTTTACTTGAGTTACAACTTTATGAAGCTTCTTTACTCACATTTTGTTTCCATCAAACATGTTTTCACCAAATGATACTCCAGTGTGAGACCTCCTGTTTACACACCAGCTTTGTTGTGTTTATGTTATTTTCTGTCTGGAGATTAATTAAAGACACAACAAACAAATATTTCACTCAGTTCTAACTAATATTCATCAGTTCCTGTAAGTATTAATTTCAAATTATCTGTATAACTAAAGTCTTTTTATAAAATAAATAATTTTATTTTGAATAATTTATTTCAAATATCTGAATTTATATTATTGTCTGTCTGATTGCATAATTTTTAAACATTAAACAGCTGTCCAAATACTATGGCAAGCCAATTTAACATATAATCAAAAGCCACGCCTCTCTGTTATTCCTAGTTAAGATGCAAATTACAGAAGTTCAACTAATCAAAAAATGTTCTTGCTATTAAAAACTTAAACAAAACTATTATGAATTAATATTATATCTTAGGATACTTAAAATGTATTTTTGTCCAGAACTAAAGCAGAGATATCTGGAATAGTATTTTGATTTCATTTGATCAATGAGTTTCTCCTCATCAGGTCTCAGATTCGATTTTCCAAAGTATTTGCGGAAACACAAAAACCTGAACAGAAAATATGACGTGATATTTACAGGAAGAACAACATTTAAAATAACCAAACTGTTCACATATCGTGGTTATTTTTGCAACACAGAGTTGCACATATTCATGTTCAGGCTGAATAATAAATGCTAAAACGGCTTGCCCTAGTTATTTTCCCTGTGTTCCCTGTTGTTTTTCCGTTCCCTTATTTTCCCAGATTGTTGCAGAGAGGCAGAAGTTTCTCCGGCTTCCCTGGATTTTCTTTGTTCTGGTTGTAAGTGGTTCCTGTTTTTACTTCTTTCCGCGGCTGAAGAATAATTTTTATTTGACGTGTCAGAGTTTTGTTTGGCCTCAGTGGGTCAGTTTGCTGGACACGGCTGGGCTGGATCAGGTCAAAGGTCATGCTGTTTACAGTTTCTCCTGTGGGTTTGAATCTCTGTGGTGGATTTTCCTGAGGTTGTTGCAGTTTTCCAGTGAATGGTGGTTCATTGTTGTGTTATTGTGATGCAGATTGTTCTGATTTGTGTTGACAGTTTCTGTTCTTTGTTTTTAATTGTAACGTTTGAGCTGAAACTGTGAAACAGAAACTGGTTTTTAGTTCTTCAGTGTGTGAATATTTCTAGCTTGGATGGTTTTCAGTTTATGGCCTCTGGCCCTCTGACCTCTGAAGTTGCGCAACAAGTAAAATCTAGAAGAGCTGAAAAACAGGGGATTAACCCTTTAATGGACCTAATGGACCTTCCTAATGTCTGTTTCTGGTTCATTTCTGGTTCTCTTGTAGTTTCTGAGTCGTAAAACCAGAAATGAAGATGATGATGGTTTTGGTCTCTTTTCCTCGTCTTGGTTTGCTCCTATATGTCTGAAATGTAAAGACGCTGATATATTACAACCTCCTGTGCATCCTGACCTCTGACGCTCTCTGCAGATTATATGGAGGAACAAAAGTGACTAACTTAGAATATACAGAATATACAGATAACAGACAAGAATCTGATTCCTCACCTCTACGGCCAAAACATTAATCAACACGTCGCATCTTTACTGATGGAAAAATCACTTTTTAAAGGATTTCGTCTCTATTGGAGAGTATTTGAAAGTTTTCATTCTGGTTGTTGCATCATCTGGGTTCCTGTGTGACATCATCCTGATCGGTCCAATCAGAACGTCTCTTCTGACTCCAGTCGCTTCTCTGCAAACATTGCTACAAATCTGTACCATAACTTTTCCAAATGCAGTTGTTTGCATGCTAGCAAGAATGACAGACCGATGACTGGTTTGTATTTTCAGGAAAGAGGCGGGTCCAACAGAACCCGGCAGCGGTGGATCAGAAAGTGACGCCATGATGGAAGCATCACCTCAATATCTGCTCTGTAAGAACAAAACCTGACGATACCGAGGAAAAGATCAAAACATCCGACTGAGTTCAGATCAGATGAAGAAAAGGTTTCTCTGCTGTAATTCTGGCAAACATGAAACTGCTGAAAATAATGAAAATAAAGAATAATGATGCAGAAACCAACGTGAAGAATAAACAGCCTGCAAATGCAGTCAGAATAATGACACACATGTGATGTCATCAACATTAATACAGATAAATGTCTGATTGTAAAATTCTCATGTAGTTTTAGATGTTAAATTGAAACCAATGACTTTATTTTTCCTCAGTTTCCTGTCTGCTGATTTGCTGCATAACAACTGAAGGTTGGTTCACGTCTATTATGACTCTAGGAAACATTTGGGAAAGGAAAAGTAAGCACAATGAAGCTGACGTAGAACCATGACATTATTAACAACAATAAAAATCACTTTTCAGTCTCTGCAGTTCATCTGACTGTGAGTCCCAGCAGATCCCAGTTCTTTGAATTTGAATCAGTGACTCTGATCTGTGAGGATGAAAACAGATCAGATGGATGGACAGTGAGGAGTAACACGACCAGAGGAGTTGGGAAGCGATGTGGAGATGAGTGGGGAGAAGCAGCTGGATCTACCTGTAACATCACCTTGTTCACATTTGATACTGGTCTGTACTGGTGTGAGTCTGGATCCTCCAACAGCAGCTGCAGCAGCAGCAGCAGCTGCAGCAGCAGCAGCTGCAGCATCCAGCTCTCTGTCTCTGGTAAGATCAGACTGTGGAGTTAGTGTTGCTGTGGAAATGGATGAAATGCTGTAGTTTGTCTCTGTGTTGAAAGGATCAGTGATCCTGCAGAGTCCTGTCCTCCCTGTGATGGAGGGAGATGACGTCACTCTGAGCTGCAGAGCAAGGAATCCAACCCACAACCTCCCAGCTGCTTTCTATAAAGATGGCTCCTTCATTGGTGATGGATCAGCAGGCAGCATGACCCTCCTCCATGTTTCCAGCTCTGATGAAGGCCTCTATAAATGTAGCATCAGCGGTTCTGGAGAGTCTCCATCCAGCAGGGTCTCTGTCAAAGGTTAGGAACTTATACTAAATCCATCCACCATCAGTAAATCAATCAATCAGTCAATCAATGTGTCTATCAGTCAGCTAACATGTTCCTCCTTGCATTCAGCCTCCAACAGCACGGTCTCTGACTGAGCGTCTGGCCTCTCAGGTGCAGAAACTGGAGGACAAACCTGAAGACGTTTCTTAGAAGTTTCTCCTGCAAAGTGAAACAAATATTATCATTATGATGTTGTGACAATGTTGGTTTGAAATATAAATGCATGCATTAGTTAGTTCTGCCCAGGCACACAAATCTCTGAACAAACAAAGAAATAAACTTTAGTCCTGGTTTTATTCAGAACTCTGCAGACGGAACCTGATAATCACAGGTTCCCCAAGACGGCTGTCAAAACTCTGAGACTGTCTGGTTCCTCCGAAGAAAAGAAGGGAAACGATCCAGAGCTGGGAGTCGCAGCCTCATGGTTTCAGACTTTGACTGAGCCGTCTGATCGGCTGAGCCCACCGATCCACCCAGAGGGTGCTGTTTCCTGGCAGAAAACGACCGAAGACAATCAGTTTCAGTGTTTTTGGATATTTTTCTGCCTTATTTCAGAAAGGAGCAGCTCTCACATGCTGCAGCTAAAGCTAACAGTTTGAACTTTTAAAACTTCATTCCACAGAGAGTTTTTATTACCTACAGTCTGGTTGAAATTAGATCATCTCTGTTATGGATATTTTCCTTCACTTTCACACCACAAACCTAAAAACATTCATTAATGTCCCATTTTAGATCTGAGCTCATTGTGGCTAAAGATTAAAGAATTAAAGTAATATTTAATGTGTTTAGAGCATAAACAGCTAATTATCACATTTTCATGTTATTGAATGATCAATTATTATGATAATAAAGAATCAATTATCATAAAGGTCATTGATTTATAAAATATATCTTTTGTTCAAAGTTTAACCTTTTACAATATTTACCAACTTTGTCAGTTTTTCTAAACTAATTCTGAATTAATTTGGATTTAATTGGCTTCACCAACAAAACTCTTGAATATTCTGACATATTCATGCTGAGTTTAACACATTCAGTTGTTTATTTGTTTTAGTTTTTATATTTTTACTGCTTTTAGCTGCAGTAGTTTTAGTTTCTTCTCATTTTATCTTTTTCTCAGTGTTACTCGTCGCCTGTTTGTTGAATAAAGTATTTGACTGTAAAGTTGAATTTTATTCTGTTAATAAACTCATATATTTGAAAGAAGTTGTATTTATTTATTCATTGCACATATTGTTGCTCATATAACCCCAGTGCTGAACTTCTACCATCATCTATCATTTTAAAACAAATATTTACGAACAACAACAGAGACTGAAATATTTTTATGTTTTCTTGAAAAGTGAGCGAAACCAAAACTTTGAGTTTGATTTACATTTATTCATAAAAATAAACTTTGATCAGCACAACAATGGTTGTTTTTGCTTTAATTTTCATGTTTAGTTATATTTAGGAATTAAAACCCGAAATTCATTCATAATTAAATCAGAGCTGAATGCAGAACTCTGTTACCAAATTTAGTTTTCAATCTTTTCATCAACATGTTTCCTTACAAGTGGAAACAAAATAAAGTATTACAATAATAAGATGTAGTTATGCTATAATCTTTTATGTAATAATGTTAGTAAAGAAAATATTTTTTTGATTTTAACATTTTAATTTGATTTATCACCCAAACAAGAAATAAAAATCAATATGAAGTAATGATGTCTGGAATTAAACGTCTTTAAAATCAAAGCGTCAAAAGAAACTTTAGGGTGAAAATATGGATGGCGGCATCTAGTGGTGGAGAAAAGTGAGTGCACGCACAAACCCAGCAAAAAGAAACTAAAGGACCCGGAACATAACATGATAGATGGAGAGCTGGTAGCACATCTTCCCTCTCAGAAGAGGAAGTAGTGACTGAGAGAGGACAGAGTGAAGGAAGGGGGGGAAATGACAGTTTCTATGACTACGGGACCACACATCCCACAGCATCACCTTAAAGAGTCAATGCTAATGCTAATGCTAATAGCGTCGGAGCACAGCTGCAGATTTTTGTTGCTTTTAGTTGAACCTTTTACTGAGGCTTCAAAGAGACGCTGAAACTGTTTAGAGAAGATTTTAGGAGAGAAACGTTTTAAAAAAGAGAAACTAAAAGTTACAGAAGAAGTTTGAGTTGGTTTGACAATCAGGAAACTGAAGTTAAAGAGTTTAAGCTGTTAGCAACAAATGTGTTTGAGAAAAGTTAGAGACGTTTTATTTTGTGGTCGACTAAAAAAAGCCAAAGTGTCTCATAAAGAGGAAGAGGAAGAGGAAGAGTTTGTTCTCAGCGAGTCAAACTGCTGCTGGTCTCATTGGATCCAGCTGCAGAATGGAGGAACATCTGTCCACAGGCTGCTGGGTGAGTCCATCTGCTGGATGTGTGCAAATGTTGAGAGACGATCACTGCTGCTTCCCACAGCAGAGCTGATTAAAGCTCCAACTAACCTGAGAGTCATTTCTCTGCAGCTCTGATCTCTCTGCTGAGCCGCTCAACAAACCAAGGTTACAACCTGATTCTGATAACTCTAGATCTAGACTGGATCCTGTTGCTGGAACTAATGAAATGTTTTATTATTTCAGTTCATCTGACTGTGAGTCCCAGCAGATCCCAGTTCTTTGAATATGAATCAGTGACTCTGATCTGTGAGGATGAAAACAGATCAGCTGGATGGACAGTGAGGAGAAACACCAGCAGAGAGACCAGGAAGCCATGTGGAGATGGATGGTGGAGTAAAGATGCATTTACCTGTAAAACCAGCAGCATCAGAGAACATGACACTGGTTTGTACTGGTGTGAGTCTGGATCCTCCAGCAGCAGCAGCAGCAGCTGCAGCATCCAGCTCTCTGTCTCTGGTAAGATCAGACTGTGGAGTTAGTGTTGCTGTGTGGAAATGGATGAAATGCTGTAGTTTGTCTCTGTGTTGAAAGGATCAGTGATCCTGCAGAGTCCTGTCCTCCCTGTGATGGAGGGAGATGACGTCACTCTGAGCTGCAGAGCAAGGAATCCAACCCACAACCTCCCAGCTGCTTTCTATAAAGATGGCTCCTTCATTGGTGATGGATCAGCAGGCAGCATGACCCTCCTCCATGTTTCCAGCTCTGATGAAGGCCTCTATAAATGTAGCATCAGCGGTTCTGGAGAGTCTCCATCCAGCAGGGTCTCTGTCAAAGGTCAGGGGTCAGCAGCTTCTGTTTAACATGTATATCACTGTAACTCTGTCTCTGGATATTTAGTTTTCTTCCAATGATCTGAACTTTCTATAATTGTTCTATAAACAGTTTTTCTAGCATCTAAATGTCAAATATTGATTTGAATCTTTGAGACAAATTATCAGAATATTCATGTTGCTTTGTCATCAATGAGAAGCTTCATCTTCTATGGCTGATGATGTTTAAATTTAATGCATCTTATTTTCTGAAATCATATTAAAATGTGTTTGTAACAAGATTGTAACAGATGCTAGAATAAATGCTTTGTTCTCTGCTAACTGAACTGATCAAACACAGTTTAATGTTTTATTTGTGTTCCAGTGATCAGTGTGAATAATAACTAATGAATTCATCAGTCAGACACAAACATTCCTTCAGTTTCATCTATAAATGTTGATCAGGTTGGATTCTCTCTGCAGGAAAACCACCAACCAGAGCCCCGCCCACCACTGAAGCCCCGCCCATCACTGAAGCCCCGCCCATCACTGAAGCCCCGCCCACTTGCTCACCTTCCCCTCTCCTCATCATCACTCTGCTCTGCCACCTGGTGGTCATGTTCCTGTTCTTCATCTGCAGTTTCCTCTTGGGGTTTTCATCTGGACTCAGAGCCAAAGGTAAAACCCTGAATCATTTCCTGACCTGATGATCCAACCAATCACTGACTGACTGAAGGTTTTCACTGGTTCTGCTTTTATTATATATTATATTTGCTTTATAATGTCTCCTATTATCCAGTCTCCTGAATTAGTTGCATTTATGGTAATAAATGTGTTTTTCTTTAACTTCCTCTCAATACAGGAAGTGACCCGTCACCGTGTGTGAAGATGACTCCGCCCCCCCAGGCTGAGCTGGTACCACATGACGATGATGATGACGTCACCACAGAGTATCACTTCTGATCCAAACAATCTCGTCCTGATCTGCTGCTGTTTTTTTTTTTCTGCTTTGCTTTCTGAAAAAATTTTTATTATCTGAATAAATAAAACTTTATAAATAAATGAAACCGATTATATTATCTTAATTTCTTCTATCCAAAAATATTATAAAGTCACACCCAGCAATTTCTAACAAAACATTTCTTAAATCTGAAGTTGGTAGCTTTAATATTAAAAACACATTTATATATTTGTGAAAACTGTCACTCTGTGCTGACAGTGAAATATGAGACAAATATCTATAAAAAGATGGATCTCCTCTGGCTCCATCTGGTGGTCCTGCTGCCACCAGCAGAAATACAACCCTCCCAGTCAGAAACAACCAATCAGAGCCAGGAGGAGAGTCTTAGTACTGTCAATCAACTTGTGTATGTGCTGCTCAGTCCCTCCTTGTTGCTCTCTGCTGCACTACGGCTCCTGTCCCACAGCAGAGCTTGTGATGAACGTTCAGCTAGTTAGCATGACCACCTATGACAGTTTTCCATTTAACTGAGTTTGTTTCTCTGCCTTTAGCACAGCTGCTGCCAATCAACAATCTTCAGTTTGTACATGGATTTAACAACCAGCAGCATGTAAACGAAGGTGATTGACACCCTGTAAGCCTTACATCATGTTCTCACTTTGTCCTGTTATAAAGTCAGAACTTTATAAAACCTGGAGTGTTGAAAACATCTGAACTTTGGATCTGCTGAGTTCATCATAGGAACAACTTCTCAGTGAAACTCTGGTGAAAGGGTGAAAAAGGGTCCATGAGAAACCATGTGACAACTTCCTGAAGGCTGAGAGTCAGAGAGAGACTGAGCTTCTTAAAGAGACAGAGGCCTTTAAGTTGAATTTTCTGAATGATTGTCGAATTACTTTGAACCAAATTGACTGATAAAACCCAGAGGGCCAGAAACCCGATCAGCCACTCTTAGAGTTTCACCAGATAAACATGTTCATGTCCTTCTCTTTCTGATTCATGTTCAGGAAGTTACATTTTGAATTGACTTCCTGGCTTCTTAAGCAGCAGCAGTAAAGTTCCTCTTGCTGTGGCCTCTTCAAACTACATGATGATCCAGTTTGTGCATCTCTGCCTACTTTGGTTCTGTTCAGCCGAGGATCCAGCCGGATCCAGTCGGATTCAGACGGATCCAGCCGGATCCAGCCGGATCCAGCCGGATCCAGTCGGATCCAGTCGGATCCAGTCGGAGTTCAGGAGATTTCTGGAGAGAAACGGCTTAAAGCCTGGAAGCGAAAAGCTGCAGAAGTTTGAATTGGTCTGACAAAATCAGGAAACCAAGGTTCAATGTCTTCAAGTTCACAGCAACAGGAAGAAGTAAAGATAAAATACAGAAGTTTGATCAAATGTCAAGATTCTTCAAGCTGCAAAAATACATCTGGGTTTTTTTAAGAATGTCTTCCAAAAAGAGGAAAGGAATACGCCCTTCTAACACTGTCTGGGTCAAAAGTCAATCCATCAAGTTTCTATAGCATCATTCTTCTTCTCTTTCTGTTTTGATACCAGTTCTTAGAAAAAGTCGCTTGTTGCTAAACCAAACCAATCCTCTGTCAGTTTGAAAGAAACCTAAAAACAGGAAGTAGTTCTTTAAACAAACCTTTGCAGGATCAAACTTTTCTCATAACTCACAGAAAGACCTTAAAATGTTCTGTCTGCTGGGAAAACAAACCTGATGATTCCCATCAACACAGTCCGGAAAACCATCCTTCAGCAGCATTTCCTGATTCACTGAACATGGAAATATGAACAAAGAAAAATCAATCAGGAAGCAACTGAGACATAAATATAACAGTTACTTCATCAACAGCGTGTTGATCTGAGAAGCTGTGGGTTTAAACTGGAAGTTCAGAGCAAAGCCTGAAACAGTCAATACATATAATTATTAGAATACATCTGGAGCAAATAAAATGAGAAACCTCTTAATTGTAGATAAAATTATGGGCATTATCTGAGGGTTTCTCTCTGTTCTCATCTTTTAGTGTCTTTTAGTTTCAGATCCTCTGACATGCAGAGATCCAGGAAGAGGAAGAGTTTGTTCTCAGCGAGTCAAACTGCTGCTGGTCTCATTGGATCCAGCTGCAGAATGGAGGGAACATCTGTCCACAGGCTGCTGGGTGAGTCCATCTGCTGGATGTGTGCAAATGTTGAGAGACGATCACTGCTGCTTCCCACTGCAGAGCTGATTAAAGCTCCAACTAACCTGAGAGTCATTTCTCTGCAGCTCTGATCTCTCTGCTGAGCCGCTCAACAAACCAAGGTTACAACCTGATTCTGATAACTCTAGATCTAGACTGGATCCTGTTGCTGGAGGAATGGAGGAACTAATGAAAGGAGGAATGTTTTATTATTTCAGTTCATCTGACTGTGAGTCCCAGCAGATCCCAGTTCATTGAAGGAGAATCAGTGACTCTGATCTGTGAGGATGAAAACAGATCAGCTGGATGGACAGTGAGGAGAAACACCAGCAGAGAGACCAGAGCTGAGTGTAAAGGATGGGGAGCAGCTGATGATTCTACTTGTAACATGACCTACATCCTCCCAGATGATACTGGTCTGTACTGGTGTGAGTCTGGATCCTCCAGCAGCAGCAGCAGCAGCAGCAGCAGCAGCAGCAGCAGCAGCAGCAGCAGCAGCAGCAGCAGCAGCAGCAGCAGCAGCAGCAGCAGCTGCAGCATCCAGCTCTCTGTCTCTGGTAAGATCAGACTGTGGAGTTAGTGTTGCTGTGTGGAAATGGATGAAATGCTGTAGTTTGTCTCTGTGTTGAAAGGATCAGTGATCCTGCAGAGTCCTGTCCTCCCTGTGATGGAGGGAGATGACGTCACTCTGAGCTGCAGAGCAAGGAATCCAACCCACAACCTCCCAGCTGCTTTCTATAAAGATGGCTCCTTCATTGGTGATGGATCAGCAGGCAGCATGACCCTCCTCCATGTTTCCAGCTCTGATGAAGGCCTCTATAAATGTAGCATCAGCGGTTCTGGAGAGTCTCCATCCAGCAGGGTCTCTGTCAAAGGTCAGGGGTCAGCAGCTTCTGTTTAACATGTATATCACTGTAACTCTGTCTCTGGATATTTAGGTTTCTTCCAATGATCTGAACTTTCTATAATTGTTCTATAAACAGTTTTTCTAGCATCTAAATGTCAAATATTGATTTGAATCTTTGAGACAAATTATCAGAATATTCATGTTGCTTTGTCATCAATGAGAAGCTTCATCTTCTATGGCTGATGATGTTTAAATTTAATGCATCTTATTTTCTGAAATCATATTAAAATGTGTTTGTAACAAGACTGTAACAGATGCTAGAATAAATGCTTTGTTCTCTGCTAACTGAACTGATCAAACACAGTTTAATGTTTTATTTGTGTTCCAGTGATCAGTGTGAATAATAACTAATGAATTCATCAGTCAGACACAAACATTCCTTCAGTTTCATCTATAAATGTTGATCAGGTTGGATTCTCTCTGCAGAAAAAACACCAACCAGAGCCCCGCCCTTCACCTTCCCCTCTCCTCATCGTCACTCTGCTCTGCCACCTGGTGGTCATGTTCCTGTTCTTCATCTGCAGTTTCCTCTTGGAGTTTCATCTGGACTCAGAGCCAAAGGTAAAACCCTGAATCATTTCCTGACCTGATGATCCAACCAATCACTGACTGACTGAAGGTTTTCACTGGTTCTGCTTTTATCATTATTATTTTTGCTTTATAAATGTCTCTTATTATCCAGTCTCCTGACTTAGTTGAATTCATGGTAATAAATGTGTTTTTCTTTAACTTCCTCTGAACACAGGAAGTGACCCGTCACCGTGTGTGAAGATGACTCCGCCCCCCCAGGCTGAGCTGGTACCACATGACGATGATGATGATGATGACGTCACCACAGAGTATCACTTCTGATCCAAACAATCTCATCCTGATCTGCTGCTTTTTTTTCTGCTTTGCTTTCTGAAAAATTGTTTTGTTATCTGAATAAATAAAACTTTATGAATAAATGAAACTGATGATGTTATTTTAATTCCATTAAGATGACGCCATGAATCAAATCAAAATCAAATCAAATCAAATTTTATTTGTATAGCACATTTCAGCAAAGCATTTCAAAGTGCTTTACATCATAAACATTGTTACATATTACATTTCAAAAACAATTCTAAAAAGGTGTGTTTTTAGTTGAGATTTAAAGGAAGTCGGGGTTTCCGCTGTTTTACAGTTTTCTGGAAGTTTGTTCCAGATGTTTGGTGCATAGATGCTGAAAGCTGCTTCTCCTCTCTTGGTTCTGGTTCTGGATGAAAAGCAGACCAGAACCAGAACCTGAGAGTCTGGAAGGTTGATACAACAACAGCAGATCTTTGATGTATTGTGGTGCTAAACCGTTCAGTGATTTATAAACTAACAACAGTATTTTAAAATCTATTCTTTGAGCTACAGGGAGCCAGTGGAGGGAATTTTTTTTTGTTTTCCTGGAGCACTGTGAGCAGCGCCTTCACAAGTTGATTGACAGCACTAAGGTCTTTGTTGTGGCTTTGATGGGTTGTTTTTGTCCGGAAGTGGCAGCATTAGCATAGGCAGGAGGTGGATTAGCTTCATTTTTCACAGATTTTCTGTCTCATGTTGTCATGGTGACATTTTTACCTGCAGGTAAACGTCCAATCACAGCCACGCCTCCTCCCTCCACATCAGACTGGTCTGCCACCTGCTGGTGGTTTGTCCGTATTGCATCTCCACTCTCCTCATGCTGTCTTTATTTCTGCAGAGAAGCAAAGGTAACACTTTAAATAACTCACTAACCCAAACATCTAACAGCCAGTTCATCAATTCATTGATTGATTTTCTGTTTTCTTATATATATATATATATATATATATATATATATATATATATATATATATATATATATATATATATATATATATATATAAAATTCCCTTCTCACCCACCGCGGGTGGTTCTTATCCTCTGAGCTCTGGTCCTCTACCAGAGGCCTGGGAGCTTGAGGGTCCTGCAGTATCTTGGCTGTGCCAAGGACTGCACATTTCTGGACTGAGATGTCTGATGTTGTTCCTGGGATCTGTTGTAGCCACTGCTCCAGTTTGGGGGTTACTGCCCCGAGGGCCCCGATGACCACAGGCACCACTGTGGTCTTCACCTTCCAGGCCCTCTCCAGTTCTTCCCTGAGGCCCTGGTATTTCTCCAGTTTCTCGTGCTCCTTTTTCCTGATGTTGCAATCACTTGGTATTGCTACATCTACCACAACGGCTTTCTTCTGATGTTTATCCACTACGACAATGTCTGGTTGGTTCGCCATTACCATTTTGTCTGTCTGGATCTGGAAGTCCCACAGGATCTTAGCTCTGGCTTTCTCCACCTCCTTTGGGGGTGTTTCCCACTTTGATCTCGGGGTTTCCAGTCCATATTCTGCACAGATGTTTCTGTACACAATGCCTGCCACTTGGTTATGTCGTTCCATGTACGCTTTCCCTGCCAGTATCTTGCACCCTGCTGTGATGTGCTGGACTGTCTCAGGGGCCTCTTTGCACAACCTACACCTTGGGTCTTGTCTGGTGTGGTAGATCTGGGCCTCTATTGCTCTGGTGTTTAGGGCCTGTTCCTGGGCGGCCAGGATGAGGGCCTCTGTGCTGTCCTTGGGTCCAGCTTTTTCCAGCCATTGGTAGGATTTACTGATATCAGCCACTTGGGTTATTTGCTGGTGGTACATCCCATGTAGGGGCTTGTCCTCCCATGATGGTTTCTCTGGCACCTCAGCCTCCGTTCCCTGTTGTCTGAGACATTCACTGAGCACATTGTCTGTTGAGGCTTTGTCCCTGATGTATTTATGGATCTTAGTTGTTTCGTCCTGGACAGTGGTTCTCACACTCACTAGTCTTCTGCCTCCGTCCTTGCGGCTCGTGTACAGTCTCAGGGTGCTGGATTTGGAATGGAACCCTCCATGCATGGTTAGTAGCTTTCTAGTCTTAATATCTGTGGCTTTTATCTCCTCCTTTGGCCAGCTAATTATTCCAGCAGGGTATCTGATTACTGGCAGGGCATAGCTGTTTATCGCACTGATTTTGTTCTTGCCATTGAGCTGGCTTCTCAGGACTTGCCTTATTCGTTGGAGGTATTTAGCTGTGGCTCCTTTCCTTGTGGCCTCATCAAGGTTGCCATTTGCTTGTGGTATACCTAGGTACTTGTAACTGTCCTCTATGTCTGCTATTGTTCCTTGTGGGAGTGAGACTCCTTCTGTGTGGATGACCTTC